GTGAAATTTTTAACTGTTTTCCAATGTTTGAACTATTTTTGCATAGACTAAAGTACAAAGGAGTGAGAATCATTAATAGGCAATCGTTCGATGGACTGAATTACACAAAACGCATGATCGCACCGGCTAGTCTGGCGCGCGTTGCTATTTATTTTTCAGGTGGTATTGCGAATGTGGCCGCTGGACAACCGCTGGATACGGTGAAGGTGAAATTGCAAACCTTTCCAGAACTCTATCAGACTGGTATTAAATGTTTCAGTGCAACTCTAAGATTGGATGGCTTACGCGGACTTTATGCAGGTTTCTCTTACTGCTTTCTAGGATGTTTGAGTCGTGCGGGAAAACTGTGTGAGTATTGGCTTTTATTCCTTTATTTCAGCCCTTCTGTTACATTTAGGGGTTATCATCCTTTCTCTTCTCGATTTATGTGTATAATGTATAAAATAAATGCAAAATTAGGGATATGTAAAATTTTGGTTGAAATTTTGTACTGTAATGATAACGGTTTACTCGAGAGACATGAATCGAATATTAGCACTTTGCTGGCCGAAGCGATCTTTCGGGAAGGCTCTCGATGGCTCATCCTGTACACAATGAACTGGGGGCGATCTGATTCCTTGTAATACCAGTTAGTCGTTATTGTTATAACGAACGGTTAATCATTATAACGAAATAGCGAATCGTAAAAATTAGTTTTCGCCGCATGTGATTTCGAAGTGATGATCGAAGCTTGAGAGTAGATGCGGTTTACCATCACTTCAAGCTCTCAAGTCTGTGAATTACTGCAGGTAACTAAACGATATTTAAAGGTTAGCGTATCGGAGTGCAAAGATCTATCGCGACCCTAATTGTTAGCTTATTAGACTAGTGTGTGCCCCGTTTGTATGTGTGTGTAAGGCGTCGCGTCCTGTATACATATTTATAATAAAGCGAGAATACATGTCGAAGCGAGAATCAATGTTAAACGTGGTAAGGCTCTGGGGAGCCGAAACTCCCCAGAATAAGAGTATTGGTTAAATAGAAGAAATAGGTCGCAGTGGTGGATAGGTAAAACAAA